GAAATTTAAAAAATTTTTATTAGATTTTATTTTTCAATGGATGTCAAATAATAACATTCACATCACATTATATTACTATTGTTTACATCACTTATTGAATCCTGTTCAACTCCAAATTGTCTCTGAGATTTTTTTTTTGCAATCCGCTAGGTGTTCCTAAAAGAAAATTACTGTCAGAATTAATTCCCTTTGATACTTTAAACATTTTCGATGACGTCGCAGAATAAATTTTTGTGAATTGATTATTGTCTCTTTACATAACAGTAACTGATTATTGGCAACTTGCGACAATTGGAACATCGCTAATCAAAATGGTGTAAAGTTAACTAATGAAATATTCTATAAAATAAAAACTACAATAACATTGTTTTCATGATTTTATTGTCGTATATTTTGACTCTCTTTTAAACGAAAGATGCACGTCTTTCTTGCTGTCTTTCTGTAGACCAACATAACAGTGAAATTCACTTATAGGAGTGTGGTGGGGACACATTGTTTCCAGTTTGACTTCCAATTTAAAGGAAATACGTCGCTGTTGCATAAACCTATCCATCCTTAAACACACATGGTTTCTTATTGTTTTATGTTCATCAAGAGTATACTAGAAAATTAATTAGGGCACACAGTTTGAGATAATAATTTATTAAACATCATCATGTCGTTCAAATGTTGCATTGTCATATTGGGATAAATATTTTTGTTTGATGTAGGCTGAGATATGGAGCATAGATATAGTAACCAAAGAGTATGGATCTGGACCTCTGTATACTCGAGATGTAGAAACTGGATTGATAGAGATCAAAAGTCATGTAAAGGTATGTTGTCTGTAATTATATATATTTTCTTATATTCCTATATACTGAATAGGTGAAGCATGTATTAATTTATATGGATTGATCATTGGCAGTAAGTGAGGTAATGCAGTAATTTCGCAATCATTGCATTATATTTCTGTTTTTAGACCTTAGGCCCAAACATGAGCGTTATAATAGGCTTGCAGTTCATTGATTAAATGGAATGTAATTATAGGGATTGTTGCTGGTGTGACTGGATTTTCAAATAACTTTACTAAAATAACTTGGAATGTATTTCATTATTGATCTTCTCCAGCTAAATTTTTAAAAATTGAATTTCAACTGCACACTGATAATTGAAATGAAGTGATTATGGTTTCCAACTTTAAAGCATTTGCTTTTGGCAGCTATGGGTTGAATTCTGTCAGGACTATAAAGTTTTGTCATTCATGTGAGAAAGCTATTCAAGCTAGCTTACAGAAATGTTTTGGCTCTTAGCTTCTACCCAGGTGCCCACTTGTGACTGGAATAATGCAATTAGAGTACTGTTACAAGCTGGAAAGTTGTCTCAATCTTTACAATAATGATATGACCTTAAACCAAATAGTTGAATATCTGTTGAAATATTTATGCATAAAAAATGCTGATTTCTATTAGTAAAGTAATATATTTACCAGCCCAATAGCATTCTCTGAATGGCACTGCTCTGTTACAGCCAGTATTGATGGTGAAGTGGAAGTTCTTATGTACATGCATGAAAAACTCTGGTAAAATTATGAAGTGCTAAAACAACCATTTGTTAGATAACTTACTTACCAAGCACTTTGAAGGGAATTTTCTAGGTAAATTTGATTCTATTCAATTACATGTGAATAAAAGAAAAAAGCCACACAGTTGAATTGTGCCTTTATGCAGTATTGTAGGGAATATTCATAACATAGATTGCATAAAGATGGCAGGTGATTAGAGTGACTACAGGTCAACCTAGAGATAAGTTCCAGCCCTAATCTATTTACAACCATGTTTTCTAAAATTGAACCAGTACATATTAGTTCTGATAAGTTTGCTCAAAGTGGTTCATAAAAGCTCTAAACCTTTTGTCACAATCAAGCTAAAATAGATATGTGTAAACTAAACTTATAAGATAGAATTTTATCTCAAAACCTGGCTACATTCGAAATTCACTTTTGTATCTTAATCAAAAAATCTTTCCTATTTTTCAGATGTTTACACCAGTGGAAACCACACAATGGAAAGCCTATGTCTTGTTTGTTCTTTTTAGATGATCATAAAAACTGCAGCCCTGAGTAAGTTTTGTGCATGCTTTTTCATGCTTCTTCTATACAAGAGAAGAGAAGTTAAAAATAAGTAAATAAACTGAGAAATCATGTAATATAAGCAGCATGTTAATGCCATTACAGGCATTTCAAAGGATTAATTTGGAGAAGTTATCTGTAAATTTGATACTCATGGTATGGCGTCATAGAATTCTGATTTTTTAACTGCCTGATAAAACTTTAATGAAACACTTGTTCAGGCCAATGTTTAGTATTAAAAACATTAAAAATAGTGTATAGAATCATGAACTTGTTTCCATTGTTCAGTTATAGGGCAGTCTTTGTTACAACTCGGCTGTTATTTTTAAATATGCTAACTACACATCTATTGTACATTAATTTACCATGTTAACAACAAAATCATATTTTGACTTCTGGTTTTTATCTACATGTAGTAAGAGTAAATGTGAATTTTTAATTTTCAGTGCTCAATTTTGGAAATTTGCTGTAACTGGTTCCAGCAACAACCAGGAGATTAAAATCTGGAGTTGTGAGTCGTGGAACTGTCTTCAAACAATCAGGTATATTACTATTATTGACAACTTTAGTGTGGTTCTTAAGTAATTTTTCTTATTTTACCTTTTCAGACATCCAAAAATTTTTTTTTTTGTCAATGCAATGTTGAAGTGACTAAATTGAAATGACGACTTTTCTGCAGATAGGTATATGTAAATTAGGTTTCATTTAAGATATTTACATGTGACTGGACACTTATTGTGTCAAACGAATACATTGAAAATATTTGAAATGTCACATAAAGCTATGTAAAATCTGTCTCCCTATTTAGTTGTGTTACATCTTTCTTTCTTATAAGCCTTGTGATAATATTGGATTGAATAATTACCATACCTTTCTCTTTTTCCCCTAAATGAAAGTGCATCATTGTATTTTATAACTATATTTTGATGTGTTATTTGTGCAGGTTTCTGTGTCCACCAGGATTGCCGTCTAATTTTAGTGTGGAGCCATGTATGAAAGCTTCCATAGACCTTAGTGCCAAATTCTTTGTTCTTTCTGATATAAAAAGAAATGTATGTATATTACTACAATAGTTAATGCTATTAAGTATTTTCCCCCATTATAATTATATAATCTTTATCATAAAATTTGAATTGAGATTTTGACCATTTACTTCATTGTTTTTATTTTACTTTTGCTAAAAACAAGCATTTTCCAGAAATGAACTTGTTTATTTTCTAATTTTAAGAAACATGTTCAAATTAGAAAAAAAGAGTTATCGTAAGTATCTAGTTCCTTCATAATCAATGGTACATTTCATGTTCTTATTTTATCAGTCATTTTTTTTTTTTTTTTTTGCCTTACCAAATAGCCCTTTGAAGTCCTTTCATATTTAAATATTTGTCATTGTACACAGGTCCTGTATGTGCTACAAATTCATCAAGATAGTGAACAGAATACTGCTCATGTAAGCTCAGTATCAGAGTTTACTTTAGCCCAGCCTTGCCTGAGCTTTGCTATATTAGATGCTGGTACCAAGAGATTAAAAAAGTCTAAGGGAGATGACTCTCATCTAGATGAAATAACTACAGGTATGTCATATAACTACATTATATGTATTGTCAGCATCTCAATACTTTTAATTTGGTGTTGAAATTTCTTAAGCTTATACTGAATATTTCTGACTTCAAACAGAACAAGGTAATGAAGATTATGCAGTTTAATGGTTAAAGGAAGTCCGAAAGTCTGAAAACAGTTCTTGCCTCCCGAGGCACTTAAAACAGAAAAATATATGAAATATATAAGAAGTACAAATCTGAAATCAATTTTTGTATGATTCTTAGCCTGATTTGAGCTAAAAACATTCAAAGGCTTTTCATTTTGAGGTCATTTTGCACTGTGAAAATGATTTTTCTGGGAAAAAAACAGAGTGAGCAAATGATCTGGAATTTGGCATTTATTGATCTAGTCCTACATCAAATGGTACAAAATCTCAAAAAAAAATTATCCAGTCTCATGTCCAAAAATCGCAGTGGAGTCACTTTAAAAGACTTTCAGCTTTTTATCTCATTAAACAAGTATCAAATCTATAAGGTGCTTATAGACCTTGTGAAACAGTATAACAACTTATTATATCTTCTGATATTTCAGGAGAGATAATAAAGGAAGATGTTGATGATGAAGATAAGAAGGTTGAACAAAACACATCCAGTATCTCTGTACAGATTAAACTTTACACCGTCCATCCAAAGGCCTTACAGGAATTGCTCATCAGGTTCAAACCCGAGTCCTCCGCCCCACAGCCCCCACCACCATCTGTCAGCTCGGTATCACAGAGTGAAGGTGGGATGGTAGATGGGCTCTCTGACATCAGCATGAACATGGAGGGTAGTGGAGAACATAACAAGAGTGATTCTTTCTCCGGAGCTGTCACAGAACATGCCCTGGGACAACCTGTGCTTCTAACTCCCGATGCTTTTACTTCTAGTCCTAGGTATATAGATATTGTGACCATTACAGTATTGTTGGTTAACTCTTATTATTGTAAGTCTTATCTATTTCCATTTGACTGTTTTGAATGTAAAATTATTCTCAAACAATTGATGTTGGTATTCATGGTTTGACTTTATTGCTTAAATGTCATATTGTATTTTTCCGTCACAGAAAGCAATATCCAGAGGACAGTATGCTAGATGGTGTCCGAGGCAGTATGTCTAGCACCAGCAGTTTTACCCAGGTATCTGCTATGAATGATGACTTCCTGTCACCAAGGAGCAGCTCTGGTAGCACCATTACCCAGACTCCAACCACGCCAAAAATGGAGCCCCAGTCCCCAGCTACATCCAAAAGTGAAACAACACCATCCTCTATCCCGCTCCCACCTATTTCTTCCAGTGAAGAGCATGAACTTGCTACTCCCACCTCCACTGCTAGAGAGCCAGAAGTAAGGGAAGCTACTCCAACACCTGAGGAGACACAGGAAGTAGATGATTTCTTCCAGCAGCAGACGACCGAGAAGCGAGACTTGCAGGTTAGTGATAAATTGATAGATTTGCTGCAATCTTTATATTGATAACTTTTTTAATCATCAAAATATTGTCATTAAAGTTATAATTTGCTCAATTTTGATATAAGAAAATATTGATTATCGTACACAGTCTCTTTGTTAATATGAAATAAATATGTTTAGACTTCACGCAAAGTAGATATGTTATGTTTAAAATTGTACACACTACAGGTGGTCGCATTGTCAATATGTAGTGTCATTAAAAAAACTTGCTGGCACTTTTTTTATCAGAAAAGACAAACTTTACTTGACCTATAATAGAGAACGGAGCTTCCCATACATAGTTTGCTCACTCTTGTATTCAAATTAGACATACTCAGTAAGAATTTCATAGATTTCAATAAATTTCTTTGATTTAAATATTTTCCTCAACGATGAGCATAGTACATCTTTAAATACATTCAGTATTATGATAGGTCATGTAAGTGTGGAGGGTGTTTGTCATGTCTCTATCATTTAATGTTATAGATGGTATCATTGGACAGTACACAAAGTACAGGGGCATATGAAGTATCAGAAGGAAGAATACATGGCAAGTCACAGAGCTCCTATGACGAGATGGATGAGGAAGTGGCCGAGGTCATGGGGGAGGACCAGGACGGATATTCCGAGGGGCCAACCGAGGGTACACAACCATTTGAGGAAAGGGAGGTCAGTGAATAGCAGATCAATTGATTCACAAATCTGTCAGAAAAAGTTAAATAAGTTAAATAGATTATTTTGAAAAAAGATGAAGTAGAAAAAAACAAAACCAAGATCTCTTATACATGTAAGTAGTGCTTTTAGTACTTGACTTTTGAGTTAGAAATATTGCCAATAAAACCATAATTAGTAACTTCAGGTACAGTTGTGGTCTGTTTAATCTCCAGTCACAATATGAATAAAATTGTTAAAACAATTAGGATGCAAAAAGGGTTATTTTGGTCACATTTCCCATGGGATTAAATTAAAACAAAATGACTTCTTCTAGTGATTTAGATGTTCAACTTTTTAAAAGTTAAAAAGAAATAGTCTCACCTTGGTGAATTTTTGCAATAAACTTGTCCTGCTTTCAAAGTAGCTCCATTGAGGTGCAAAAACCTGAAAATAGAAAAATAATATTTCTTACATAGATCAACTAGGGCACTTAAAACAGAAAGGTATGCAAAACAGTTATGAAATATATATGTACTCCGAATAAAATTAAAAATTAAATGTTTGTGCGCTTTTTAGCCTGTTTTGAGTTGGAAGCATTTACACTCTTTTTGTTTGGGACTGTTTTTTTTTTTTTTTTTACAATCAGAAAAATCATTCTGAAAACGTGGAGTGAGCCAAAATCTGAAATTTTGAACCTATGTCAAATGGAACATAAACATAAAAAATATTAACAATCTTGTTACGGAATGTCGAAAAACCTTAGCAGAGTCACAATAATTTGGAATCTAACATATTTCTAATGTCAAAAATGTGCAGGTAACAATGTAAAGTCTACTGGCATGCGAGCAGTTCCCGTACAAAAATCATAGTTACTTAATCATTATTTTTTATTACGCTCACTCACCAATATTTGAATGCTACACATCAATATTCGGCTCGTCACACAAATCATGGAAATTCCATCATGTTCTAAAACATAGAATAACCCTTACTTATGAGGCCTCATATGGGGTACCGAAATTATCCATTATTTTGTATGAAGAGAAGTAGTTCCCCATACATAAAATCTAACCCCATTATAATGATACAATTTTATTATATCGGACCTATTTTTCATTTACAATTGTTGAAACAGACCATTATCTAAAAGATAAATAGATGTAATTCAGGAAATAGAGCGTAGACTAAACGCGGGTATCTATTTCCCAGTTCCGTTACTCCAACGCATTCATAGGCAGTAACATGCTTGTATACATTGGTATTTTACGCATCAAAGCCATAAAATTATTATTTATTAAGTACTGATTGGTCAACATTCTGATAATTAAACAATTTTTTCATCTCATTGCCTACTTATTTGTAAAACAGGTGGTATTAGTGGAAAACCCTTTAACAAGCCTCACGTGTAAGTATTTTTGCGCATGCGCGCAAGGACGGAATCCCCGGAGAAAAACAAGGTCACGTTTTTGACGACGCACAGGTGAAAGTGATTTAAAATGAGACTTTATATACGTACTGCCGAACTGACAATTAGATTTTGTCTGGTTTATGTATCTGCTTGATTTGAAATGATTTTTTGAAGAATGCAAGTAACAATCAAGCGTTTAAATGAAAAATACGGGTACTGCTTCTGTACGGGAACTGCTCGCATGCCAGTAGAGCTAGAATATTTCTTGTTTTTTTTTTATATATTTATGTATCATTACAGGATACTGGTCAAGTAGGTGAGAGTACAGAATCAAGTTTGAGGATGTGGCCTAAACCACCTGATGTTGGAGGCTCAATCACAATGGAGTAAGTTTTTTCATTGAGTGTATTTTTTTTTTCGGATATTTAAGTTGTGTGAATTAAAGTATTAAGTTATTTGCTTTGCAGGTCATATTTCACAATGTATTATGAAGAAATAGGGACAGCTATTGAACTTGGCCAGGCATCGGGCATCACACTTCAGTTATGTTTTTGTATTCAAGTTGGTATCTTGAAAAACGCCTATTTGAGAGCAAAACAGGAGGTCACGGTCCAGGGCCCATACCTCTGATTTGCATTCTGACAGAATTATGGCCCTTTTTGATCTTAGAAAAAATTCTGCATAATCCAGGCTCTTATCAAGCACTGAGAATAATGGAGCACACTGTCCTGACAACCTCTGTTTTACAATGCTTTGGTATTTTCTTTGGCATTCTAAGCTAGAACCATGAAATTAGAATTTATGTGTGTCTTTCTTTTATTTCTAGAAAATTTATTTTAAAATAACATGTGAAGTATTTAGGATTTTTATACTCAAGCTGGAAAAAAACTCCATTTAAGCATTAGAATACCACCTTTTGACATAAGTACTTATTTCAGAAAGAAAAACAGTTTGCTTTGTGATTTCAGTAATGAGTTGAAATTGTGCAAAGATTTAATACTGTGCTCTCTTATAATAGTGATGTTTATGTATTGGGCCTCTGTGTTTGAGTGGTAAAGGGTGCCTTCTTAAAATAATTGCTGACTTAGAATTTTTTGCAACTCGTTGATTTTGGTTTGCATCCTGACAGGGTTTCTGTTGTGTGAAGAAGCAATCCAACTAGATTATAAAGGGGCGCATGAGATCTTCCATCAATAATACTGGATAGTCACATTATGTGGCTTAAATTTATATTTAATAAAATTACCCTTGAACCAGAATTTTTTCAACATTATATGTTGTATGTACATCTGTAGGGTTGGAGATGTTGATGACACAGAGAATGTTGATGAAGAGGAAGAAGAAGGTGAAGATGATGATGATGACGATGATGATGTAGTGGTTGAAGAAGAAGAGGAGAATGTAGTAGAGGGTGAGTCAGAGGGAGAAAAAGAGGGCGATGCTGATGAGGAAATAGAAGAGGAGATAGAGGAGGAACAAGAACCCTCCGAGGAAAGGTAAGTTAACTTTCCAACCTATAAAATATTTGAATATTTTCACATCTCAGGAAGGGGTAACATGTATTCACTCAAAACAAACGGCAGATATTATTTTAAGATTTGAAAAAATATATATCAACTGCAATATTCAAAAGAATATTAACTGTGCTGTAAAAAATTTTGATTTATAATATCTGTTGTGTGTTGCAGTTTTGATGTTCCTCCCTAGAATATCTGCCCATTGAGTGGCAACAAGACTTGCCAAAATGCTTCCCATGGGCATATTCCCAAGGGATGGTGAGTAGCGAGAGCTATTGTGCTCAGCCTGGTGTCGCCGTCACACTTTGCTTAAGTTTTGCATGCAAGTTGGTACATGTATCTTAACTTCACACACTTGTTCTCTGTGATTATCTAACATTCCAGTTACACAGAGCCATCGGTGATTGATCAATAGTTTTTTTAGCCAAATTATGGAGTGAACCGATGACAACATATTTAACACCCATATCACCTATTGGTCACCTGTTTTCCACCTATCAACTGCTATTTGGGAAAGATAAGTTTCATCGGTGAAAAATTACCGATTGGGTTTTTTAAACATGTTTAAAATTCTCGATCGGTGAAAATATTTTTAAAATAACCGACGGCAACCTATATCACGAAATATGCAAGCTCTTAATCACCGATATCGCCGATCGGACAAAGATAACCAAATATGAATCACTGGCCATATCTGATGGAAAGTGTTTAACCACTGATGACTAGCTATCAAACACCGATTAATCAGCTTAACGCCCGATTTAGCTCCGATTTACAAACGATAAAAACCAAAAGTATTTCAGCATTTAATCATCGACCCATTCCCGTTTGAGTTTGCTTTCTGTCACTGATGGCTGTTTACACAGAAAACCAGAAATAAAATCACGCATGACAACCGATCATAACAGCGAGTAAATTTAAAATTAAATGACCGATTGGGGACCGACCGTCTGTGTAACTGGGCCCTAACATGATGCACACTGGTCCCATAACTCAGAGTTATGCCTCATTTCTTACTGTCAAGCTCTGAGAAAAGTCAAGCCTGCTGTCCGCATACAGGTTTTGTGAAATACCGGTAGGTGAACTAGCAAACAACTTCACTTTGAAGATTTAAATTAGATTAACTAAGATATACATGTTCATGTTATATTGCTATTTTGTTACAGTATGGATAACAAGAGGGAACCAATGGCAGCCCCTGTTGCAGGATCAGGCTATTCCTCTTCACCAAGGTAAACCTTTACTTTAAATATTGAACATTTATTCTTTAATAAAAAGTTGTTCTAGAATCTGCATTTACAAACAAAAACTTTAAATATATTTTAAAACAAAAGCTACTTATATGGGACTTTTTTCAATAAAATGCCAATATATGTGCATTTTAAAACAAAAATCACTAATTTGAACAATTTTAAACAAAAACTACACTACTATAAAACTAGCCGTATAATAGCATGTTGATTGAGAGATGTCTCTAACCTTTGCATGTATATCCAGAGTTTTGTTTTGTGATCTTCATAGTGCATAGTTTTCTGTAGTTTGATTGTGAAATTATTAAGATGAATTGTTTTTGTATCAATAGAGACAATAGACCAGTTGAAGTGAGAGAAATACACAGAGAGACTATTAGAGAAGTGTTTGACACAGCAGAAATACGGAAGGTACATTTGTATGTTCTATTTTTCATATAGAAGAATTGTAAATTTGTGCTTTTAAGTGTATTAGCAATGAGCGTGAGTTGATTTGCCGATGTCACCAATGTAGAGCCAGGTTAGCCTGTACATCAATGCAGGCTGATTAGAGCATGTCTATGTCTTGTTGGTTATTTAATTTTAGTGTTTTCCTGTTGAAATCTATCATATTGATAATGAGTAGGTCAGAATCAATATACATAATTTATACCAATGTAGTGGGATAATTGTAAAAAAAGCTGACCTAGGGTCAAATCAAATGTTTCTGGTGTTGAATAAAGACTTTAAAGTATGTTCGAGATGAATAAATGGTTGTTATGTTGTTCTTATTACCGTAAGATAATATCAGAAAAATCATGTCATATAACCTTATTCATGGCTGTACTTACTTGCATAATAAAGCTTGAAAATGAAATGCCTACATTTTTAAGGTTTAAAAGAATTTATGAATTTTATTTTATTATAACTTAATGACTGTAGTGTTATGATAGATAACATAATAATTATCTTATTGTCTGGAGAGTGATAAAAAAATTTATTATTTTTGTTGCAGTTACATTCCAGTATGGCTGCCATACTTCAAGCTATACAGAATCAACAACAACAACTGGAATTTCTGAAACACAATATGTCTGCTCAACAAGAAAATTATCTTGAGGTAAATCAAAAATTACAGTATAGCCTCTGCAGAGCAACCCCCCTTTGGAAGACACATGTTGTTTGTTGATGAGAGTTGTTGCTGTTGAGTGGTTAAATCTATTTTGAAATTTTACCTCGGAAAATTTGAAACTGTTGTTGTACAGAGGTAGTTGCTGCACAGAGGTAGTTGTTGTACAGAGGTAGTTGCTGCACAGAGGTAGTTGTTGTGCAGAGGTAGTTGTTGTACAGAGGTAGTTGTTGTGCAGAGGTAGTTGCTGCACAGAGGTAGTTGTTGTACAGAGGTAGTTGTTGTACAGAGGTAGTTGTTGTGCAGAGGTAGTTGCTGCACAGAGGTAGTTGCTGCACCAGAGGTAGTTGTTGTACAGAGGTAGTTGCTGTACAGAGGTTGTTGTTGTACAGAGGTAGTTTTGTTGTACAGAGGTAGTTGTTGTACAGAGGAAGTTGCTGCACAGAGGTAGTTGTTGTACAGAGGAAGTTGTTGTACAGAGGTAGTTGCTGTACAGAGGAAGTTGTTGTACAGAGGTAGTTGTTGTACAGAGGTAGTTGCTGCACAGAGGTAGTTGTTGTACAGAGGTAGTTGTTGTACAGAGGTAGTTGTTGTAACAGAGGAAGTTGTTGTACAGAGGTAGTTGTTGTACAGAGGAAGTTGCTGTACAGAAGGTAGTTGCTGTACAGAGGAAGTTGTTGTACAGAGGTAGTTGTTGCACAGAGGTAGTTGCTGTACAGAGGTTGTTGTTGTACAGAGGTAGTTGTTGTACAGAGGTAGTTGTTGTACAGAGGTAGTTGCTGCACAGAGGTAGTTGTTGTACAGAGGAAAGTTGTTGTACAGAGGTAGTTGTTGTACAGAGGAAGTTGTTGTACAGAGGTAGTTGCTGTTCAGAGGTAGTTGCTGCACAGAGGTTGTTGCTGTACAGAGGAAGTTTGTTGTACAGAGGTAGTTGCTGTACAGAGGTAGTTGTTGTACAGAGGAAGTTGTTGTACAGAGGTAGTTGTTGTACAGAGGTAAGTTTGCTGCACAGAGGTAGTTGCTGTACAGAGGTAGTTGTTGTACAGAGGAAGTTGTTGTACAGAGGTAGTTGTTGTACAGAGGTAGTTGCTGCACAGAGGTAGTTTGCTGCACAGAGGTAGTTGTTGTACAGAGGGTAGTTGTTGTACAGAGGTAGTTGTTGTACAGAGGTAGTTGTTGTACAGAGGTAGTTGCTGCACAGAGGTAGTTGTTGTACAGAGGTAGTTGTTGCACAGAGGTAGTTGTTGTACAGAGGTAGTTGCTGCACAGAGGTAAGTTGTTGGACAGAGGTAGTTGTGTTGCACAGAGGTAGTTGTTGTTACAGAGGTAGTTGTTGCACAGAGGTAGTTGTTGTACAGAGGTAGTTGCTGTACAGAGGTAGTTGCTGTACAGAGGTAGTTGTTGTACAGAGGTAGTTGCTGCACAGAGGTAGTTGCTGTACAGAGGTTGTTGTTGTACAGAGGTAGTTGTTGTACAAAGGTAGTTGCTGCACAGAGGTAGTTGTTGTACAGAGAGCTGTTCTGTGTATTTTCCAGTGTTTTTTTTTCAAATTTCCATAAACTAAACTTTTACCTTTGTTACTGCCTCAAAAAAAGTCAGGCCTTTTCCTGCCTATTTTAATTTGGAAAAGAAACATGTATCACTTTGTGAAATTATAAACTTTTATTGTTATTGTGATCCATTACTTTTTATTTCAATCAAAACTTGCTATAGAGTATTTTCTGTTGAGGGATCAGGTCAATTTGAAGAATTATGAATTATATGATAATTGTGTTGTTGTTGTAGCTACGACGTCGGCAGCTGGAACAGGAACAGTTACATCAAGTATCTGAAGGTGCCCAGCCAAGTATAGAGGAACATCTTGGTAAACTAGAGAACATTGTTACATCAAGGGTAGAGAGATTGTTTAATCAACACTCACAGAAAGAAAATATCCTTTTAACAAATTTTTATAAGACAGATTTGTACACAATTGAAATTGACCTGCTTTTAGAACTGTTTATTATTAAAATATAGGATTTCAGAATATCCTTTAACCCTATGACAACTGTATTGTGCAATAGACTTTCCCTGTTAGAAATTTGGTACTGTCAAATGTTATTTTTAGCTCACCTGAGCTTGCTCAGGGTGAGCTTTTAGGATCAATAAATGTCCGTTGTTCGCCACATTTAGTTTGTTAACACTCTAGCAGTCGCATTTTTGCCTCAATCATCATTAAGCTTTGTCTTGATGCTTATCTAGTTGATAGCTCAGATGAGTTTGAACTTGGGTCTCTTTGGATGAAAAACTAGGTCACCGGAGCTAGAAATAGAAATACCTTGTTAACACTATAGTGGTCACATTTTTGCCTCAATCATCATTAAACTTGGTCAGGATGCTTGTCTAGGTGATAGCTCGGATGAATTCGAACATGGTTCATCACGGATGAAAAACTAGGTCACTGGACCTAAAAATAGAAAAACCTTGTTAACACTCTAGCGGTCACATTTTTGCATCAATCATCATCAAACTTGGTCAGGATGCTTGGCTAGGTGATAGCTGGGATGAGTTTGAACATGGGTCACCTCGGATGAAAAACTAGGTCACAGGAGCTAAAAATAGAAAAATCTTGTTAAAACTCTAGTGGCTACTGTTTTGATCCAAATATCCTGTAAATTGGTCTGAAAGTTTGTTTTGATGATTTCTTGGTCACCTTTGAATATGGGTCACCTGGGGTCAAAAACTAGGTCACACTGTCCAAATATGGAAAAACCTTGTTAACATTCTAGTGGTCACATTTTTGACTCAATTATCATCAAACTTGGTCAGGATACTTGTCTAGGTCATTGCTCGGATGAGTTCTCACATGGGTCATTATGTACGAAAAAGTAGGTCACCTGAGCTAAAAATAGAAAAAATCTTATTAACACTCTAGATCTAAATATTCTGTAAATTGGTCTGAAAGTTTGTTTTAATGATTTCTAGTTCAAGTTCGAACATCTCAGATGCAAAACTAGGTCACACCACCAAAATATGGAAAAACCTTGTTAACACTCTAGTGGTCACATTTTTGACTCAATTATCATCAAACTTGGTCAGGCTGCTTGTCTAGGTAATTGCTCGGATGAGTTTGAACATGGGTCATCTCGCATGAAAAACTATGTCACCGGAGCTAAAAATAGAAAAATCTTGTTAACACTCTTGTGGCTACTATTTTGATCCAAGTATCCTGGAAATTGGTCTGAAAGTTTGTTTTGATGATTTCTAGGTCAAGTTCGAATATGGGTTATCTGGGTAAAAAACTAGGTCACACTGCTCAAATATGGATAATCCTTGTTAACACTCTAGTGGTCACATTTTTGACTCACCTGTCATGAAACTTGGTCAGAATGCTTGTCTAGGTAATTGTTCGGATGAGTTTGATGGGTCAGGTGAGCGATCTAGGGCCATCATGGCCCTCTTGTTCTGTCTTCTTAAATTTAGCAAGTAAATATCAAAACATTGACATTGGACAGTTTTTTTCTCCAACTGAAAGTCATTAAGTACCATATACAAATTAAACATGATAGAAATTAGGATACTACTAAACCTGCTTTCAAAAGTGGTTCAAAGATTTAAAAAGAAATAAATTCCTTTTATGAAATAAAGGACATAGTAAAACTATATATCTCTATGGATACAGGGCAGAATTGCCATGGTAACATATTTTGACATTTTGTTTCTTGTATTTTGATAACCTTAACACATGTTAACATCAGAGAGTACAGGATATAATGAGACAAGCAGAGGCTCGTGATGAACGTAAACAAGAGAGATTACAGAATACAGTAGCTACATCACTCGCACAGGCAGTAAACAGTCACATGGATAAAGTAGTTCGTAGCACTATTGTTCCCAGTAAGTCACCATAGTAAAAGCATATTTTTGTAGAAATAATATTTCCATTGAAAACTATTTCTTTTAAAAGATTTTTCATATATCTGTATAGATTAAATATTTTGGTCTACATACAATTTGGATGTGGAAACAGTTTTCCTTTTGCATTATTTTGATGTATATTTTACATTCTGAAAACAAGTTGCCTCCCTTCATTTATTCCAATGATACTTACTGTAGGTTTAGTGTAAAATTGTGCCATCTCCTTTATCACATGCATGTTACAGTTGTTATGCACTAAATCCTTAAAATTTTGGGGAAGAATTTATGCAAGCAAGTACTGTTACTGAACTATTAAAACAATGTGTGATGAGAGAATATTTGTCTGCTGTAGAAAAAAAAATTATTGAAGAAGATGTCCATCATTTTTGCATCATTGAAGTGAAATTTTATCAGAGATGATTGATTTGTTAGTGTGTCTTATCTATCCTGTATATTAACTATATTATGTAGGTATAACAAAAGTATTGGAACCAGTGAAAGACCAGATACATCAAGACATGACACAGAAACTGACAGCAGCTGATTCCCTCATCAGAGAAAATGCTTCCCACATTGCCAAGACATTCAGATCACGGGTATGTGTTTATTGTTATATAGAAACTTGCGCAGGAGTACATAAAAAAAACCACATAGTTTTGCATGTCTGTTAGTTTGCTTAGCTTATTCAGAAAACAAGTTCTTCTGGATGAAAGATTATAATGAAAAGAAATGTCATTGTTGTATTTTTAGTTCAAATAATTATATTTATGAACATTTTCCAGATTTATAGATAGTGAATTGGTTCATACAGTTTACCAAAAGCAGTTTGTATATATTAACATTGTTAAATTCATTTGATGGAGGTGGGTATGTGAGATATTTTCAGGTCTTCATGAAGAAAATTCTTTGAAAATCTTGTTTAAGATGGAAGTTTAAATTTAATTTTAATTCTTTCACAAGATTAGTCTTAACAGACTGCTAAGGATAAGATTGCATTTTCTGCCTGTAGCAGTTGTATGGAGGTATATAACTTGCTTCTGTTGGTTAATTCTGGAACTATTGTTAAGTCTTTTTTGAGCAGTACAATTCAAATGAACAATATAGGGTCATGACACTCGTCTTTTGGGTGGATCTTCAGTGGCATTACAGGAAACTTGTACCATTTATACCATTAATCTTAGATTTACAACATTCCATTGTTTTTTCTAGCAAACAGTAGAGGCTGTGGGTGTGGCAGCAGGCAATGCCATACAGGCACCAATGCAGGCTGCATACCGTGAAGCATTCCAGAATATTGTAATACCTTCTTTTGAGAGAACTACACAAAACATGTACCAACAAGTTACAGATACCTTCCAGAGAGGTACAAAAGAATGTAAGTTTGAGCTTGTTTTGTCTTTATCAGTCAGGTTAAATTTTAATGTTCTAATCACCATGAAAATGTAATAATAAGCTTTCAGACTTGCCATCTTTCTTCGGTGGTGTGAAATTACAACTGTAAATTATTTATACACAAGCATGCTATCAAGTTCTCATACAAGGTTGATACTGACTGTAAGATAATTAACATAAAACCTTGCTATTTTGACCAAATCATTTTTAAGTGAGTTAACTATGAAGATGTGTAACAAGTTTGGTACCCGGTTTGTGTAATGCTTAGAATTGCCTGTATCCTTGAAATTGAAAATTCACCCTTGTACTCATGCAGAGTAATATTGACAGCAGGATATGCTGCAAAAGTCATCCTGCTGCAAAAGTCAATGGGAAACTTATGTTTATCATTGAGTCGCTCAGTTGTTATTTTTTGCTATAACTTCTTTAGTTTTAAAGGTATCTGCATCAAACTTCAAATACATAAATCCTTAATAGATTAAAGCTATATCCCTGTATCTGATCTTACTTTACAGATACTAGACAACTGGAATCACATCTCGACAGTATTCGACAGAAACATGTAGAAGCACGGGATCCAGTTGTTGCAGAATTACGAAAACTTACCGATTCCTTCCAAACATCAGCTGAACAAATGAAATCTCATGTGATAGCAACAATTCAATCTCAACTCAGTAATGAAGTCCATAAATCTCTATCAAGGTAAATGTTCTATATTTGAATACTTTTTTATATGCCCGAAAGGGCATATTATGTTATACCCCCTGGCGTCCGTCTGTCTGTCTGTCCGTCCGTACGTCCGTCTGTCCGTCCGTCCGTTAGCAATTTGGTTTCCGGAGCATAACTTAAGTTCCATTTGGCCCACAATGTTCAAACTTCATAGGATGATTGCCCATATTGGGTAGAAGACCCCTATTGATTTTGGGGTCAAAAGGTCAAAGGTCAAGGTCACTATGACCTTAAAACTGAAAACAGTTTCTGGAGCATAACTTAACTTCCAATTGACCCACAATGTTCAAACTTCATAGGATGATTGTCCATATTAGGTAGAAGAACCCTATTGATTTTGGGGTCACAAGGTCAAAGGTCAAGGTCACTATGACCTTAAAACTGAAAACAGTTTCCGGAGCATAACTTAAGTTCCATTCGACCCACAATGTTCAAACTTCATAGGATGATTGTCCATATTAGGTAGAAGACCACTATGGATTTTGGGGTCAAAAGGTAAAAGGTCAAGGTCACTATGACCTTAAAACTGAAAACAGTTTCCGGAGCATAACGTAAGTTCCAATTGACCCACAATGTTCAAACTTCATGGGATGATTGTCCATATTGGATAGAAGACCCCTATTGATTTTGGGGTCAGAAAGTCAAAGGTCAAGGTCACTATTACCTTGATACTGGAAACAGTTTCCAGAGCATAACTTAAGTTCCATTTGGCCCACAGTGTTCAAACTTCATAGGATGATTGTCCACATTGGGTAGAAGACCCCTATTGATTTTGGGGTCAAGGGTCAAGGTCACTATATCCTTAAAACTGAAAACAGTTTCTGGAGCATAACTTAAGTTCCATTTGGCCCACAATATTCAAACTTCATAGGATGATTGTCCATATTGGGCAAAAGACCCCTATTGATTTTGGGGTCACTGGGTCAAAGGTCAAGGTCACAATTACCTTAAAACCAAAAACAGTTTCCGGGGCAAAACGTTAGTTCCATTTGGCCCACAATATTCAAACTTCATAGGATGATTATCCATATTGGGTAGAAGACCCCTATTGATTTTGGGGTCACAAGGTCAAAGTCACTTTTACCTTAATACTGAAAACAGTTTCTAGAGCATAATTAAAGTTCCAATTGGCCCACAATATTCAAACTTTTTAGGATGATTGTCCATATAAGGTAGAAGACCCCTATTGATTTTGGGGTCACAAGGTCAAAGGTTAAGGTCATTATTAATAACTTAAGTATTAATCAACCTACAGCTGTAAAATTTTATAGGATGAACAGCGAATTCCATGTCTTACAAATGCTTCATCCTTACTAAAAAAAACACTTTCGGGCATATAATGCTCCGCCTAGCGGTGCTCTTGTTTTCCATGTCGGGAAAGCAAGTTTGCAGGTAGTATATTTTTCCATTTTGGCTCCTGTTTGTGCCTGGAATGTAACTCAGAGGGGAAACTTGTAGGAAAGCTAGAAAGTCACCATATGACTTTGGCAGTGTTGTTTTCACTTTAAAGTCAACAGATGAAGAAAAAGATGTACATTCTGTTACAGTGATCATAAGTCACATTTTCAGATAGAGATAGGATAAAACAGTAGAATAAGTTTTAAGAATATGTCTCTGTAAGTTTCATACAATAATGGAAAGTTAAATGAACTTATCTGAAATTTCCATGGCAAGTGACAGTAACATTTATGTACATTAAAAATAACCGTAAGCTTTTTTGGCTAATTGGAATTTAACTTGTATAGTTCTTGTTGTGAAAATACTTATAAGTTTCATATAAAGTATCAGGCCTGCATTCCATTCTAGCATCATATGTACTGCAGGGTTCGAAATTTAAAGTATGAAAATGCCATTATATTAATTTGTGTAAATAAGCTGTGTAATTGATTATTCAGGAAAAGGTAAATGTGTTGTACTTATCTAACAGGTTACAAGATGATATGTCCCTGTATGTGAGGGAAGCTGTGAGGGAAGAGGTAGCGGTTGCTATGAGGGAGCAGGGAAGCTCCATTAGTGATAGTGTTCTTAATGCTATGAGGTCAGGGGCAGTGACACCAATGAGAGCGACCCCTGACCCTCAAGTAGAGAAAACACACATACTGAATCTGTTACGACAAGGGCAGCTAAATGCAGCATTTCAGCAGGTAAGTGGAGCAAAGTTCATGCTATTAATATCCAAGGCTTCCGTTAATGGAAGTTTGGGAGTCATTTACTCCATGATTTTGGCTTGTGACTTCCAAAATTTATTGCTTTTCCTTCTTTACCTATATAATGTGACTTCCAATATCAGAGATTTGTAGTCTTTGAAACTTAATGGAATCCCTGAATATCACAAGCATTTATGTTGGCTAAGACATTTTGTAGTTTTGCTGTTCTTTACTTTGTCTGACAGTTCCCCTTATATTTTGTACAGTGTACTTGCTGAGTCTTGCATTTCAACATAAACCAGAAAAACTTCATGAATATGAAGATACATGTACAAGTATAAAGTAAAGATTTATATAGAATTGAAATAAAGACTCCTTATCTTACTAGAAGAAAGACTACTTATCAAAAAAAAGTCCTTAAGTATTAGAAAAGGCTTTTATCTTTGTTCAATTGAAATGAGATAACTTGAGAGTGCATATATGTGGAAATTTATTTTATGATATAACAAGATGTATATTTCTTGATCAAAATAGGTGAATACCAGCATAAGAGGTAAAACAAGAGAATGAGCAAATGATTAACGATTTGAATCAAGTATACAATATTTATGATGATAATTTCAGGCATTGTCAGCGGCTAACCTTGAACTTGTGATGAGTCTATGTGAGACAGTAAATCCATCACAAGTTTTCAACCAGCAACCATGTCCCTTACACCAGCCTGTCCTCCTATCACTCATACAGCAGCTGTCAGCTGATCTAGAAAATCATACAGATCTTAAATACAAGTAAGTCTCACCCTGTCATAGTTTGGGTCCAATGAGAAACCATCATAGTATAGCTGTGAGTCAGTTTAATTTCTCACGGTTTCAAAATGATAGGAGAAAAATGTATAAGGGGTCTCGTAAGTTACAAAACTGGTTTTCCAAAGTTTTAATGTGGCTTCTCATTCTTTGACACCAAGGCTAGCTGAGTTAGTTATCTCATAATATTTTGACTTGAATATTAAAGAAGAATGCTACCTATATTTTATGAAAATGTAGAAAGTGATAAAATTCAGTGATAAAGTTTAAAGATTTTAGCTATTCAAATTTATTTACTTACCTTATAAATCTTTTTAAAAGAATATTTTGGCTCATGCCCCTTTTTCTCACAAACCAGCATCAAATAACTTTTTTTTTGTTTCAGTCAATAAACTAAAAACATTCAGAACTATTGCCTTGTCTTTGAATGCATATGTATTGTGATTCCTCCAGTTTGTTGCCAAGGGAAGTTACTATGATATATGCTTTGAATTATCGAATTATCCCCCAAACTTGTTTAGTTACTGGTAAGTGAAAGCAAGATTTTTATTTCATTGTTGAGTACTGAGAAAAATGGAGCATGCTGCTTTATGAACATTTTTTTCCCAAATGATTATGCTTATTTATATGTAACAAAATTTGTTGTAGGTTTATTTAACAAGAATTTTCTCTATAATTTTTCAGATACTTGGAAGAAGCTGTGATGAACCTTGACCCCCATGATTCTGTCACACAGGAACATATGAAAGGAGTGTTGTATGCCCTAAACCAAAAACTAAGAATATATATCCCAGCTCACCCTAATGACAAGGTGACAAGATCACTAAAAATGTTGCTCATGGCCTCAGAGTCCTTGATCAAATAAATTGGTGCTTTTTTCTTCATTACTATCATTCATAAATGGTGTAAAAGTAAAAATTGATGATTAAAAGTGTGAAAATGGTTAAGAAAATGAAGTGCCATGGTTCAAGGATCTGAAGTTCAAAAGACTGGAGTGATAAATAATTGAAAGAACTTGGTGAACAATTAAAGGTTTATAAAAAAACATTCAATCTTCAAATATTACATGATGTGTATGTTAATTTAAGAACAGAATAATCAGTTCAGCAGTCATTTTGTAGAATCCATGTTATTGTTTTATCACCTTTATCAGTTGCAGGTTCAAAATAGTTCAAGACTTGTATTAGCATATTCTATTAGAAGTTTGTATTCTCATTAATGTTAAGAAATACTTAAATATTTTGTTCTGACATAATTCACAGGAGAGTAAAACTGTACCCTGTTAATTGATACTATTATGTTTATTATTTGACTTAATAAATGATTTGGCAACATTATGCTGTTAGTAAGCTTTTTTTTCTTAAGAGTTGACCTTGTTTTGTTGTTTTCTTTTTACAAAGATTTTCAAATAATGTCAATTTGATGTTAGATCTGTGTTACTTATCAACAGTACCAACTTTAAAGGTAATAAAGTGAAACTTGTGCTTAGTTTTTAATTTTATCTTAAGATTTTTTTGGAGATATTTTTTATTAAATGCCTCATTTAGTTGTAGGTTCATTTTAGTTGAGCAGTTAGAGTTATGTAGGTTTTGTACACAGTACCAAAGTTATTTCGTATTTTGTTACAATGTAGTTTTGTATATATTTTTGTTTTAACTGAGAATAGGAAATTAGCAGATGGCTAAATTAAAGTATTAAAAACTCATTAAAACTGTTGTTTATCATTTTAACAAAGAAATCTTTCATAATCATATATATTCAACTTACCTTATTTACCTTGATTGTTGTTGGACTTGAGAGTTTTTAATGTGCGCCACATATCGGTGTGTGCCCCACAATGTTTGGCTCTTTGTGTCTCCTTTAATTAATTCCCCTCTCCCCATGGCATTGAGGTTGCAGTCACATAATATTTTCATCCAATAGGACCTGGGATATTTTATATCTGATCAAAATGTTTAGCTGCAGTTGACCAGGCATCAGAGACCAAAGATCCTAAACCCCATCTTTTTATGCCCTAAGCATATAGTAATTGAACTGTCATCCATATGAGGTTAAATTATTCCGGCAAGTTGGATATATCTAAAGTTTTATCTGTACCAGTGGTTTTATACTACACATGCTTAGTTATCAATACAAAGTACATTATTTTGCAAAGTTATAATGGTTTCAAGTTTCTTGAATGAACCTTTTTGGCACATTGATTACTGAGAAAAGGAATATGTGTTCCCCAAATACAGGTTCTTGTTTATGCTTTACAATTGCCTGCCTCTGTGATCTTTTTTGATATGCTGGACACTCCACACCAATAGAGACATAGCTGTTTTCAGCCAAGTAAAAGAGATTGCTCAAAATGAGTGACCCTCTCGAAGGCAGAGACAACCCTTTGCAATACTACAATGGACAACTGTGATGTTAAGCTGGTGAAATATTTTAAAATTACTGAATCTTAGAGACTAAAATATGTGTCAAAGAAGCTGATAAACTTTACCAAGTTGTTTTCACTTTTCCTCTTTCATCTATTGTGGCACCAAGAATGATGGACTGAAGATCTATTGTCGCTTAAGGTCTTCAGCTGCATAATGATATCTTAGAAGTATGTTGTAAATATAATTCTCTGACCACTCTGTCATCACTGTCACCACCATTAATATGTGTAGTTGTATTGTACAACTTTTAGAGAAATTGTACATGTAAACTAACCCACATGCAGAAATTTAAATACATGACAATTCTACTAAAACATTGTTTTACTTAAAACCAGCATAAGTATGACTGATCTTTCAAGTAAAAATTAAGTTTGTGATAAAGACTGAAAGATATTTGATATATAAAAGTTTATTTCAGATTAGATATAAGACAGTTATACACAGACTGTTACATTTCAAATAGAAAAACTATTATCACTTCTTAAATGTTAGTATAATGGAATATAGATTAATTCAAGATGTGCTACTTACACACTGTTATAAATATTTATTTTCTATCTTATTCACAATTATAGTCTGTCCCATTGAAAATGGAAATGAACTTTTGCCTGGTATGAATTAACAAAACGAGATTGAATAAAAATTAAACTATTTTTGTAAACTAAAAAAAAGTCACCCTCGAGATTTTTCAGGATTTTACTCTAAAATGTCTACTTTTCTTGTGAAAGCAAATTTTGATTTCCCTATGGAAAATCTCTGTTGTTTATTTTTCGTAGCCATTGCCGAAGTACTCTTCATTTGAAGATAAACGGGAGAAAGCACGTGTCATGTTTCCAAAATATACATGAGGTTCTCGGGGTCGTTTCATAATTATTTTAAAAAGCTGGACCTACAAGATGTAACAGTTTAGTTGCAATGCATGATGTTAAACTTTAAAAAAATGAAAAATAAGCAACAAGAACACCGAGTCACATCAACTGCGCTTACTTTTAAGCTGAATAAAATCCCTTTGAAATTCGAAATAGATCTTTATAAACGTCACAACAAATTCGCATTCTGAAGATTCCTTCATTGCCAGTTTCTATCCAGTTCCGTAGATCTTCAAAACTCCTAAATGTCATGACCCCTACACTAATGATGATCCAGATTTTTTTTAAACTGTTAATCCGTCTCATTATTAACACATTGTTCAATTTGTGGAGTTATATCTGGGTTAGCAAATGAAATATGTACATGAAACATATCATAATTCAGTATGTTCCAAATCCATAATTCAAGAACGGCCCATCAATTTTAGTTGTCAACATCACAATGTTTATAACTCTTGAAAATGGATTCCTGACGAAAAAACTTTATTACGTCAACAACAATTTACGAAATGTATGACGTAACAAAAATGCCTCGCGTTTTTTATGGATGATTCCGGGTGCGGCATTGACAGAGGGCAGTAAGGCATATGTAACCTCATACATATAATTTTAAGCCTTGAGATAAATTTGCCTTGATGGTATTTAAGATATTTTTTGTATACCCAGATTTTGCAACTTAACTGTTAAAATTACACCTTCAATTCATATATTAACAATAAAACTTTTGATAACATTTGAATAATTTTAAACAGACTTAATGAAAATTATATTAAATTATATTATATTTAATGAACTTATTGTACTGTTACAATACTTCTTCCATTTCTTCACATATAACCTATTAAATATGCTTTTAAACTATTTTTTATATTTCTTAGAAATGATTTCCCTACATATTATCTCGTTATTCAGGACGTCAGTAAATCTCTTTTAGCTATAAAATATACAATACGCGGTATTTTTCTCCCGCGAAAAATATGCTATCGTTTGTTTGTTTGTTTTTTGTTTTGTTTTTTTTTTTCACTGAATATTTTCAAATTTTAGGAAGGCTAAAATTATTGAGGACGTCGCCCGGTGTTTCTCTTTGACTCGATCTCCCCTTCATATTAACATAATGATGATATGTAACACTTTGAATCTACAAAAAAAAAGAAAGAAAGAAAAACACTTATTGTCGCTTATTGAATGCTCCAATTCAAACATATTCTTAATAATATCAAATCACTGCCGATATTTCTGGACATTTTGTTAAATTGTGGGACGGAAAGTTAAATCTGTATTTACGAGCTTAAAGTGCATAGGTCTACGTTTGATTTCTCAAACTAGAAAGCATGGCATTATATTCTTATTATTTACATTTTTCTCGAACGCGAGCTTTTTTTATAGTGAATCAGTTCTCCTTTATATATATTTCTTGTCAGATTTGCATGATAATGTAGTATTTGTTGGCGATTTCTTGTGAAAGTTGAAACCTACGGAAAGTTTAAGCGCACGAACAACGCACCCGAAATAAGAAGGGTAACATATTTTTGTATCCCATCGAACCTGGTCAATTTAATCATTTTTGAATAGACGAGATACATGCTAATGGACAAAACTCAGACAACTACAGAATTATGTAAAGTAAACATTAATTAGCTAAGAACCATTTTCATAGTATTCTAGCTAGTGTTCCCGTTCCCCTACGACGCGTTGCTGTATTCAAGATACGCGCTTGATTGAAAAAGCTATCTAATCAAATCACTTCATTTAAAAGAATATAAAATACGACAGTGTATTATGGTAATTATATAAATCTTTGTGTGTTAGAATTTATATTTAGCGGTTATTGATGTTTTCACTTCAAAGATTTTGATTATTTTAAATAATGGTTTGCTAGTACATGTAGTAAAATTGCCTTTTTGACACCAACTTTGTTATCATTTTTCATTTTAATGATAACATTTAGCTATTGATTAGTTAGTAAAAAAGAATAATCAAATTTTTATAATTACCGAGTATATTTCATGCTAATTGTGAGACGAACCCTAAATGACGTCTATATGGGCGCCGCCATTTTGAAATGGACGTCACGTCAGGTTACAACGTAAGTCAACGGGAAAAAACTATTATTTATCATTTTGTATATATTATTGAATTTATGAAAAAAATGAAAAACATGCCTAGAGATATTGACGTCAGGGTTAACATGATATTAATTCAAATGATTTTACTATTATATTAAATAAAAAATGGAATATTCAAATTTGATGGGACAGACTATAGTAAGTACATACAATATTTTTAGATTAAAAAAGACTCGTACATTCTTAGTTGTCAGTAAACTAATAAGAAGTAACAATATTATCATGATGACCATCAACATGATGATATTTACACAGATACACCTTTATTTTACATCTCCATTATATATTTTCTATAACGATATCATTCCTACTCCACCAGTAAAGCTGGTAAGTTGCCATATGTGTTGGTGCAACGTAAAACGCAAACAAACAATAATATCTTCGCTGTTACACCTTCACTAAAAACATTTGTATGTAACCCTTTTCAAAATTGTTTTCCTCTTGCCACTAAATATAACATATATGAGCAACGTAAAATAATGAACATAATTAAGACATGATTATAATAAAATACATAAAGGTTTATTATGAGCAATTAATTTTCATACATATAGACAAATTAGGAACATATCTCGAACAGAATAACAAAATCAACATGGCTGCAAAAGGATTTCTTCTAACAGGTTGTACAGCAATAGTCTCGAAGTATTTCTTTTTTTTCTGTTACTGCATCTTATTTTTCAATTGTTTCATTCAGTTCGTCTTGTAATCTTTCATTTTCTTTGGTTGCTGAATCTAATTGTTTTTTTTTGGCTATTTAACTCGTCTTGTTTATCTTTATGTTGTTCGGTTATTGCATCCAATCTTTCTTGTGTATCTTTAAGTTCTCTTTGTACAGTAAATATTTTCTTTTCGGCTGCACGTAGTTTGTCCTCCGTGTCATTTAATTCAATCTTAACATTTTCAAGCTCTTTTCTTTTTTCAACCAAACTTTTTATTGCTTCATCTCTTTCATCTATTGCTTTATTCAGAATGTCCCGGTAATTTCCAATTTCTTTTAGCTTCCCGATTTCCCAGCTCTTTTTATTCCACGCTAGAAGATCGCCTCCGAGTTCATCCAGGATGTCGAGATATTCACCTAATTTAGCAACATCGGCCTCTTCATACTCTCTCTTTCTACTACCAATGACCAATCTTTTCTTGAAGTTTATCGCTCTCTCTGCATTTTCTCGAAGCAGACTCTCATATTTGCATACCTGAGCTGAAACCGAATGAAAAGTTTCATCCACTTGGTTTTAATATTTCATTGTTGCTGTGACTAAATAAAAATATTTAAAAAAAAAACACTTCTGCTACTGCTAAAATAAAAAAAAATTGATAGGATAAAATTGAGACTACCTCACGGATTTCCTTCTGAGCTTTGTCCAGCTGCTGTCGAATGTCGCTTTTTATCTGTGAATTCATAGCATCTTTCAAAAAGTCGACCATAGCATCAATGTACTTCTCCAAGTCTGCATCATTTATATTATTCAGTGGCGAATTCATCATCGCATTTCTACTTTCAATTATCTGCATTTAAGACATAAGATTGAGCATGGTGGACTTACGTCATACCGAATGTTATTAGAAATAATTGAGCAATACAAAGTGTAAAAAAATCGAAAACAATCAGTCCAGATGTTTATACCTATATGTCACCAATGTTTTCAATTTCATACGAAAATTTGTAGAAAATAAAAAAAATAGATATTTTTAAGTAGATGATATTTTAAGTAGATGATATTTTAAGTAAGTGTTAAAACACATGTCTCGGGACATTTTATTGTTTATGTACATCATTCATGCATGTTCAATGAAAGAAAAATAGAAAAATACTTTGTAGAAAATCGACCATAATATAGAGGAAGCAATTATAAAAGAAAATCATAAGATAAAGCTTAATGCCCTTTAAATATTCTTTATTCATGCAGCGGGAACTCAAATGCTCTGCACGACTAATTAAAGAAATTTAAAGGTTATCATATACATTCTGCGGTTGTGAAGACTTAATTACAGGTTGCAAATTCACAAATAAATTAACTTTATATCAGCATATTACAAACTTGTAAATATACACATACGTTTCTATATATTTATGCATTCATCACTCTTTGTTAAATTGAAAATCTGATTGTATTTTGGGCTATATTACGAATAAATTCATTGTCATTATATATATTTCTCCAATCGGCATTGTGCAATTAATTAAGAGGAATTATTAAATACTATGAATACGCTTGTTTGAAGAAATAACTGAGCATGTGCATCTGCTTTGGTGTGATTTCTTTCATATTCTATTTTGTTACAGAACCCTTAAGCGGAGTGACATATCATTTTATTTGTGCGTTAAAAACTAAAACATGTCTTAAATATATTTTATTCCACTTAAAGTTTTAAAGGTGTCCAAAATACTTACAATTTTAATATTTTCAGGTGCAATATGGTCGAAAAGACGACAGTTTTGAATCATCTTTAAGACGGAAATAGGTTCCGTTTCTCCAGGTGTTTCAATATCAGCACAATGCCTGCTCTCTGGCATGAAAAATTTTGCTAAACCCCATGGTCCTCCAACAGTTTTGGCTTTGCAATTTGTAAAACCAATACGTTTGTCATCTAAGGAGTGAAGTCTTAATATTTCTTGAAATAAAGTGTGGCACACGCATTGATAAGTCGTTGTAAACTTCCACTGACTGGAATCCCATTTCGCATGATAAGCCAAAAATTTATAATTTGATCCACAGTTATAATGCGACCGGTCTGAAATAGTATCTAAGAACTTATCAAATATGTGATAAGCATAGTTACGGACGACGTCACACATATGCATGAGGGCTAAAGTTCCTTTGATCCAGTTTAGATAGTTGGGGTTATTGATTCTCTTCTCAGGGTTCATCTCAGTTATATTTTTCTGTAATAACAAAGACAATATCAACTTAAAACACTTATAAATATCTTATTGTACCTCACCATTGTTTTTAAATATAAGTAGTCTTGTTAAGTAACGCACCATCAGTCGGCGACCAGTAACTAGTTTATCACAGACCCGTGCCGATTTTGCGACTCCGTAAAAATGGTATTGCATGGCCATGCATATATTTTGACGCGATTCGTCGCTTGGCCTTTGTTTTATTGAATCTTTTAATGAGTAGCTTTAATCTTTAGCTCTTATACATAGACCAAAAAATAGACAAAATTAATGTATGAAAGGCTGAATGGCACCAAAAAACTTGTTCCAAAACAAGCCCTTTTATTTCCTGATTTATTGGCAGTTACGAGTATATATCAATAAAATCTTCAGAGACGATACCTCATGTTTTCCCGATTATAATTCAGTAAATTTTCCACTTTGAATCAGACACTTTGGAGAGATTGCGTATGATTCTCTCCTAAACAAGGAATGAATATGGAAAGTAGAATGCCTCCATAAATTCATGAATAAATGTCGATATATAATTGTTGTAATAAAATCCTAAATAGAGTACGAACGAACTACAATAAAAGACACTTTTAACGTAAATATATTTGGGTTGTAAGCAATAGCTATCTTTCAAAGTCACAACATACATAAATCGACATCCGATGTGTGTATGTCGTCGGTAAATTTGAAATGGAAGTCAGTTAACAAACAGTACCAAACTCTAGAAGAAATAAAAGTACGACTTGAAAATAATAAAAAAATATATATCGCAAAAATCACGACAAAAGGTATTAACGACATAATACGATTATTTTATTCATCAACCAAAAAAAATTTAAATGAATAAAATATATCTTCATACATCTCTGTCTTAGTTACATTCTGTATAATTTCTGTGTAAATGTTCACCCATTACTGTATTATGGCCTGATTAATTTTCAGCGTCCATGGTTGCACCTCCAGCTTTCCTCGAACACGGGCTTATTCGATTATCCACATATGCTACTCAAACTCAAATTTAGTATAGTTTTGTAAATTGTATATCTTTCAGCTAAAACCCTCCCATAAACATTTTATTATTACATGTAGTATTTAATTTGGCGCAAATGTCTGTGTCTGATTTAAAATGGCTTGGTTTGTGCGCGCATTTGCAACCATTTTACTGCTTATTAGATTGAGGTTTGTCGGCAGTTGGACGTAAACAATTTCGTCTGTGCGTAACTCCTTCTACATTTCTCAAGATATCTTGACTTAACTTTCACAGAAGCTTTGACATCAAGTGCCATGGCATATATTTTCAGAGTTTTGCGATTCAAACATTTTTTTTGCGGAATTATGACCCTTTGTTTTCTTACAAAAACATGGAAATGCATTTTTGTGCGCAACTCCTATATTTCTCGAAGGATTTTGACCTAACATTCACTAGTACATAATATATTTATACTACTACAATCTAATGAATAGATTAGTTTTATAAATAAAATTAATTTGTTCTAATGTTTGTTGATTGTAATAATAAGCATCTGTTAAGAAAGTTTACCCAAAAATGTTCGAATTGTAAAATACTGACAATATGCACCAGGGAACTTGATGACGAAACTTCTGTGAAACTTGAATATTGAAAGCGTTTTATTACAAGTGTTTTTCAGTGCATTATGGGTATAAGTGTGTCAATGCGTCATTAATTACATTATCTAAGTATGGTTTATCTTTAGTAGTTACATATATTGCAATGTCGTTTTATCAAATAAACAGTACAATCTATCCATGGATTTCAATACAATTTTATATTCTTAACATTTCAAATGCAAATGTTTACATCTCTTTAAATGTATTTCAAATTCGACATAGGAACGACGGACTATCTAGAAAGACAGGTTTACGAAGAAGTACTTCATATTAGTTTCCTGATATCAAAATGTGACATGGACCCTTAAGCTATGGAATTGAACCTCATGACGGGCCGATAAAAAACTAACTCATAGAAAAAACATTCGTAAAAAAGAATTAAAAATCAACTAGGTCGCGAATCATGTATATGAATATAGCTATGAAATGTGAGTTGATATGAACATTCGCCGTCTAACTTTCAATTGAATAACACATTCAAAAGAACATTCAAATATTTGTTCGAATCAGCCTTTTTGAGTTTTATACCTATCGATGTAATATATGCGGTATTATCATCGTTCAATTGTTTTTTACGTATGTTCAATTTAATTTGACAATGTGTTGTGTGTTAATTATTAAAATTGTTACCGGACCATATCTATCATCTTTCATGAACAGACCCAATCTAACCAAGCCAAGAAGGATCTCCCCCTTTTCTTTTCCAGATTATTGAACAAGTGCAATCATGTTGTATCATGAAATAATTTTAACTGGACTACATCAACAATATAAGTCTTAGCTTAGGAAGACGGACTAACCGATCGTATTCCGCGTAACATTCGCTCAATTGTTTCCTCCATTAAAAAATAGTGGCTTTATTTAGAATAAAGTAGGGACTGCTGATAGTTTAATGTGCACAATAACATGATTGTCTTCTAAAACTGTTAGTGCATTTTTACCCCTTACCCCAGCGCAGGAAAAAAAACAACACTTACTCACTGATACTATGCTAAAATGGAATTAAAAAGATGAAAAAATACCTATGATTTACGTATTCACGTCTAAAAGTCACAAAAACGTTCATTTGGCAATTTTGTACCCGGAAGTTTCAGCTATCAAACATCATATATTACACCGCACATGAACAACCGTCGTTGATTTCTCTTGTACAGTTTTTTTTATTTGACTGATAACGTAAACTTACGGAACTGATCGGAAAACTTCGAACATTCGGATTGAAGTTACATGAAGGACAATTAAAACGCTACTAAATAAGTTAGCTAAAAGAAGAACAAAATAATTATATGATAACTGTCACGATGATATCGGTATCGTTTATTCATGTTTATTCAGCATTTTCTTATACATCTATATTTGTTATTATTATTTCTATACGATCTTTCATATGTACGAGCTATATAGAGGATATTAAAGTCTTTCTTTATAAAAACAGGATGTGTTTTCAGTGATTGGTAAGAAAATAAATATTTCACGAGGGGTTGTAGATGATAATTTTCATACCACAATACATTACAATTTGAAAGACTTTTTCTTAAATTTAGTGTATTGTCTGAATTGAGAAGAAAGTAGTCCGGCAAGACACCAGTGAAAATACAGAATTTTATATTTAACTGCAGTGAAAAATAAATTTTTACAGTGAAAATACGGAAAATGAAAATACGCATTTTATTTTATTATTAATATTTCTCAATACTAGTATTTCATTTATAAAAAATTATAAAATTTATACAAACGATGTTCTTATATATACGAGTAGACACTTTGTACACTTTCTTTGCTACTATTTGTTATTTTATATATATTTTTATTCATTAGCGTGGCCTTTTTATGATGAGTCGGAGTAATTTCGGATTTTTCAAATTTTTATGGTTTCAAGTCGTTATCCGTTTAATCTAGCCTGGGATTCAGGCGTTGATATTTTTTTATTTATTCATAACTTACGCGCTATTTCATACTCGATCGTCATAGATAACACAACATAGTATCGATTTGCCGACTAGAAGCACATAAACAAGAGCTGTCCGTAAGACAGCGCGCTCGACTTTTTTATTGCTTGCCAATAAAAAAAGTTTTTGCAGTAAAAGGCAATACAAGAATCTCTGTATTTTTAAAGTGAACAATGGCCATGAACATTAAGATATTTAGTGAAGAATTATTTTACTGAATTGTGTGATACCCTTGAACACTGCAGCAAAGTTTGAAATGTTTAAGTCAAAAGAGGGCTGGTAAGAAAGAAAAAAAAACTGAGTTGAGCCTTAAATAAATTTAATAGTATTAAACCCACTTTGAGAGAATAAGGTATTTTTACGTCACTCAGAACACCTTGGTAAATGACATAATAACATAATTTTTCAAGAAATCTATGCCAAGGAAGCAGTATATTTTTGTACTTGTATTTTTGATACCCTTGAATATTACAGCAATGTTTATATGACATAATTTATGGTAAAGTGAACAAGTGGATAGGAATGAATTTTTTTAGATTTTTTAAGTTTTTTAGTGCTTGCCTATAATACAAAACATTGACAGTTAAGGGCCATAATTCAAATAAAATCTTTGACAGAATTACCTTCTCCTGGACATGTTTGGGAATCATGATTGTAAACAAGTATTCCAACTTTCAAATTAATATCTCAAACAGTTCAGTCAAAAAGTGGACTGGTACTAAAAACTTAACCAAGATTCTAAGTCGATAAAAGGCCTTAATTTTTTAAAACAAATCCTTGACAGAGTTACCTTCTCTTGCGTACAGATGGGGGTAATGATGTGAAATAGCATTAAAAGTTTCAAAGCAATATCTCAAAGGGTTAAGGCAATAAGTGGATTTTACCCATATTCAATGTATTTTCTAAGTCAAAAAGGGCATAATTCTGTCAAAAACCTTGACAGAGTTATGTCCTCTTGTCTGTTGATGAAGGTCGTGATGGTAAACAAGTATGGTCAGTTTCAAAGCAATACCTCCAATGGTTTTGAAATAAAGTGAGGTGGTACAAAAAACTTAACCAAGCTCAATACACTTTCTAAGTCAAAAAAGGGCCATAATTCTGTCAAAAACCTTGACAGAGTTATGTACTCTTGTCTGTAGATGGAGGTTATGATGGTGAACAAGTATGGTAAGTTTCAAAGCCATACTTGTAATACTTCTGAAATAAAGTGGGGTGGTACGAAAAACTTAACCAAGGTGTGACGCCAACGCTAACGCCGACGCCGACGCCGACGCCGGGGCGAGTAGGATAGCTCCCCTTTTCATAGAAAAGTCGAGCTAAAAATCGACAGACTGGAACCAAGGCTAGTTGGGGTAATGATGGTGAACAAGTGTGCAAAGTTTCAAAGCCATATGTCAATGGACTTTGAAAATATTTGAACTATTACAAAAACTTTAACGTAAATTCTAAGTCGAAAAAGTGGCATAAGTCTGTCAAAATGCTTGATACAGTTACCTCCTCCTGTTTACAGGTTTGGGTAATGATGGTGAACAAGTGTGCAAAGTTTCAAAGCCATATGTCAATGGACTTTGAAAATATTTGAACTATTACAAAAACTTTAACGTAAATTCAGAGTCGAAAATTGGGCATAATTCTGTCAAAATGCTTGATACAGTTACCTCCTCCTGTTAACAGGTTGGGGTAATTATGGTGAACAAGTGTGCAAAGTTTCAAAGCCATATGTCAATGGACTTTGAAAATATTTGCACTATTACAAAAACTTTAACATAAGTGGTTACGCCGACGCAGACGCCGACACCGACGCTCGGGTGACTACAATAGCTCTACTTATTCTAATCGAATAGTCGAGCTAAAAATGTAGGCATTTCATTTTCAAGCTTTATTATGCAAGTAAGTACATCCATGAATAAGGTTATATGACATGATTTTTCTGATATTATCTTACAGTAATAATAACAACATTACAACCATTTATTCATCTCGAACATACTGTAAAGTCTTTATTCAACACCAGAAACATTTGATTTGACCCTAGTTCAGTTTTTTAACAATTATCCCACTAAATTGGTATAAATGACTTATATTTATTCTGACCTACTCATTATCAATATGATAGGTTTCAACAGGAAAACACTAAAATTAAATAACCAACAAGACGTAGACATGCTCTTATCAGCATGCATTGATGTACAGGCTAACCTGGCTCTATATTGGTGACATCGGTAAATCAACTCACACTCATTGCTCTATCCAGCTAGCTTATGGAACGTCGGTGGTTCTACTCAGGTGCCAATTCGTGCCTGAAATAATGCACGGAAGGGCACCTGAGGTCTTCCTCCACCAGTAAAGCTAGAACGTCGCGATATGACCTATACTGTGTCGATGTGACGTAAAACCCAAAACAAACAAACACACTCATTGCTAATACACTTAGGAGCACAAATTGACAATTCTTCTATATGAAAAATAGAACATACAAATGTACCTTCTGTATTTCTGCAGTGTCAAACACTTCTCTATTAGTCTCTCTGTGTATTTCTCTCACTTCAACTGGTCTATTGTCTCTATTGATACAAAAACAATTCATCTTAATAATTTCACAATCAGCTTTGAAAACAATGCACTATGAAGATCACAAAACAAAACTTTGGATATACATGCAAAGGTTAGAGACATCTCTCAATTAACATTGGCTGCTAGCATACGGCTAGTTTTATAGTAGTGTGGTTTTTGTTTAAAATTGTTCAAATTAATGATTTTTGTTTTAAAATGCACATATAGTGGCTTTTTATTGAAAAAAGTCACATATAAGAAGCTTTTGTTTTAAAATATATTTAAAGTTTTTGTTTGTAAATGCAGATTTTAGAACAACTTTTTATTAAAGAATAAATGTTCAATATTTAAAGTAAAGGTTTACCTTGGTGAAGAGGAATAGCCCGATCCTGCAACAGGGGCTGCCATTGGTTCCCTCTTGTTATCCATACTGTAACAAAATAGCAATAAAACATGTATATGTATATCTAAGTTAATCTAATTTAAATCTTCAAAGTGAAGTTGTTTGCTAGTTCACCTACCTGTATTTAACAAAACCTGTATGCGGACAGCAGGCTTGAATATTCTCAGAGCTTGACAGTAAGAAATGAGGCATTACTCCGAGTTATGTAACTCAGAGTTATGGGACCAGTGCCCATCATGTTAGATAATCACAGAAATCAAGTGTGTGAAGTTTCAACTCACTGCCTTTATTTGTTTTGTGGATACATGTACCAACTTGCATACAAAAACTTAAGCCAGGTGTGATGGCGACACCAAGCTGAGCACAATATCGCAACCCACCATCCCTTGGGAATATGCCCATGGGAAGCAATTCGGCAAGTCTTGTTGCCACTCAATGGGCAGATATTCCATGAAGGAACATCAAAACTGCAACACACAACAGATATTATAAATCAAAATTTTTTTACAGCACAGTCAATATTCTCTTGAATATTGCAGTTGATATATATTTTTTCAAATGTTAAAATAATATCTACCTTTTGTATAGAAAATTTGTTTGTTTTGAGTGAATACATGTTACCCCTTCCTGAGATGTGAAAATATTCAAATATATTATAGGTTGGAAAGCTCACTAACCTTTCCTCCGAAGGTTCTTGTTCTTCCTCTATCTCCTCTTCTATTTCCTCATCAGCATCGCCCTCTTTTTCTCCCTCCGATTCACCCTCCACTACATTCTCCTCTTCTCCTTCAACCACTACATCATCATCATCATCATCATCATAATCTTCACCTTCTTCTTCCTCTTCATCAACATTCTCTGTGTCATCAACATCTCCAACCCTGCAGATGTATTACAACATACAATGTTGAAAAAATTCTGGTTCAAGGGTAATTTTATTAAATATAAATTTAAGCCATATAATGCGACTATCCAGTTATATTGATGGAACACCTCATGCATCCTTTTGTACATTATTTCACTACCAACGTTCTGTAAGCTAGTTTGATTGCTTCTTCACACAACAGAAACCCTGTCGGGATTCAAACCCAAATCAAGGAGTTGCAAAAATTCTAAGTCAGCAATTATTCTAAAAAGCACCCTTTACAACTCAAACACAGAAGTCCAATACATTAACATCACGATTATAAGACAGCACAGTATTAAATCTTTGCACAATTTTAATTTATTACTGAAATCACAAAGCAAACTGTTTTTCTTTCTCAAATACGTACTTATGTCAAAAGGTGGTATTCTAATGCTTAAATGGAGTTTTTTTTCCAGCTTAAGTATAAAAATTCCAAATAAGTTTCTTCACATGTTATTTTAAAATAAATTTTCTAGAAATGAAAAAAGACACACATAAACTCTAATTTCATGCTTCTAGCTTATAATGCCAAAGAAAATACCAAAGCATTGTAAAACAGAGATTGTCAGGACAGTGTGCTCCATTATTCTCAGTGCTTGTTATAAAATATGCAGAATTTTGTCTAAGATCAAAAAGGGCCATAATTCTGTCAGAATGCAAATCAGAGGTATGGGCCCTAGACCGTGACCTCCTGTTTTGCTCTCAAATAGGCGTTTTTTAAGATACCAACTTGAATACAAAAACATAACTGAAGTGTGATGCCCGATGCCTGGCCAAGTTCAATAGCTGTCCCTATTCTTCATAATACATTGTGAAATATGACCTGCAAAGCAAATAACTTAATACTTTAATTCACACAACTTAAATATCCGAATAAAATCACAAATGAAAAACTTACTCATTGATTGAGCCTCCAACATCAGGTGGTTTAGGCCACATCCTCAAACTTGATTCTGTACTCTCACCTACTTGACCAGTATCCTGTAATGATACATAAACATATTAAAAAAACAACCAAGAAATATTCTAGCTCTAGTAACTACATTGTTACCTGCACATTTTTGACATTAGGAATATGTTAGATTCCAAATTAGTGCGACTCCGCTGTGGTTTTTCGACATAACAAGATTTTTAATATTTTTTATGTTTAGGTTCCATTTGAAATAGGTCTGGACTAACAACTTGTATTCAAATTTTCAGATTTTAGCTCACTCCAGAATAATTTTTCTGATTGTAAAAAAAAGAAGACAAGAACGTGTTTGTTAAACGAAAATGCCCCCGACTCAGATTCTTGTCAGTAGCAATATTTCAAAAAATGTTTACCCATTCACTCAGTTATGGACAGAAAAATTGCCAAAAAATTGTAAAAACAAGTTATATAGCTTGACAAAGTCATGGCGTTTTGTAATTGTGAAAAATATAAGTTGCCAAGTCATTGCTCTGACTTGTGAAGTTGAAAAATATTCAACTTCATGCAAGTTATCTTCCTACCAAATATGAAATACATCTGTCATTAAATAAAGGCTGTATGGGCAAAAGTATAAAAATCTATTTTGTGCACTGGTGACCTTGACCAAACTGACCCCTAACTCTATCCAAAAGAAGAATACCATGTAAGTTATCTTCCTACCAAATATGAAATACATCTGTCAATAAATAATGGATGAATGGGCAAAAGTGTAAACATCTATTTTTAGCACTGGTGACCTGACCGAACTCACTCCTTACTCTATCCAAAGGAGGAATACCATGCAAGTTATCTTCATTACAAATATAGAATACTTATGTCAATAAATAAAAGCTGTATGGGCAAAAGTGTAAAAATCTATTTTTAACACAAGTGACCTTGACCCACTGATCCCTATCCCAATCAAAAGGATGAATTACCATGCAAGTTATCTTCCTACCAAATATAAAATATATCTGTCACTTCATAATGGCTGTATGGGCAAAAGTGTAAAAATCTATTTTTAGCACTGGTGACCTTGACCCAACTGACCCCTAACTCCATCCAAAGGAAGAATACCATGTAAGTTATCTTCCTACCAATTATAATAAAAATCTGTCAATAAATAAAGGCTATATGAGCAAATGTGTAAACATCTATTTTTAGCACTGGTGACCTTGACCCAACTGACCACTAACTCCATCAAAGTTTATGTTTCTATCAATTATAAATAACATCTGTCTATAGAATAAGGTCAATACACCTGTACAAATCTATTTTTAACATTGGTGACCTTGACATTGGTAACATTGACCTTGACCCAAATGACCCCCTACTACACCCAAAGAAGGAAGACCTCCCTTGGCATGTTTGTTTTAAACTAAGACATCAACTAAAAAATAAAGGCTGTATGAGCAAAAATGTTTATATTTATTTTTTAAACCAGTGACCTTGACCCTAGAGACCGCTTACTCCACAAAAATTAGAGGACTATCAAAGGTATCCACCTACTTAATATGAAAGATATCATTAAAGAAATTTAAGATAAATCCAACTTGCCGAAATAGGTTAACCAGACAAGGCCCTATTTCCAAAGTGAAAAAAGGGAAATAACTGGGAAATATGGATGACACAGTTATATAACTTGGCAATATCATGTACTTTGTATTGATAAGTAAGTGTGGAAATTATAAAGCCATTAGTATAGATAGAACTTAATATATTTCCAACTTGCCGTTTTAGGTTAACCATTATTCATTTTCTAAGTGCTAAAAAGGGCAATAACTTTGTAAATATGAAAGCCAGAGTTATGTAACTTGCCCAGATCATGTACTTTGTATTGATTAGTAAGTGTGTAAACTTAGAAGCCATTGGTAGAGGTAGAACTTAAGAAATATCCAACTTGCCGTTCTAGTTTAACCTCGTACGGACGGACGGACGGTTCAATTACTATATGCCCGGGGGCATAAAAACAGTCCCAAACATAAAGAGTTTAAATGCTTTCAACTCAAAACAGTCTAAGAAGTGCACAAACATTTAATTTTTAATTTTATTCAGAGTACATTTATATTTCATAACTGTTTGGCATATCTTTCTGTTTTAAGTGCCCTAGTTGATCTATGTAAGAAATACTATTTTTCTATTTTCAGGTTTTTGCACCTCAATGGAGCTTCTTTGAAAGCAGAACAATTTCTTTTTAACTTTTCAAAAGTTGAACATCTAAGTAACTAGAAGAAATCATTTTGTTTTAATTTAATCCAATGGGAAATGTGACCAAAATAACACTTTTGCATCCTAATTGTTTTAAATTTTTTTAGATTTATATTGTGACTGGAAATTAAACAGACCACAACTGTACCTAAAGTTACTAATTATGGTTTTATTGGCAATATTGGTACTAAAAGCACTACTTATAAGAGATCTTGGTTTTTTTTTTTTTTACTTCATCTTTTTTTAAAATAATCTATTTAACTTATTTATTATTTTCTGACACATTTGTGAATCAATTGATCTGCTATTCACTGACCTCCCTTTCTTCAAATGGTTGTGTACCCTCGGTTGGCCCCTCGGAATACCCGTCCTGGTCCTCCCCCATGACCTCGGCCACTTCCTTATCAATCAATTGAATAATTCATAAAATCTAATTTGTAACTTTGAATAATTCCTCGGCATCTTTACTAACCACAAATAACAAATTAAATAAAATGTTTCAAAGTTGATAGTGTCGTATTAATACCATAAAAATGTACCTTTTTTCTCAATTATTGTACATATTTATTGTTTTTATCTCATAAAGATAAAATGAAACATTCTATTGTTGTTGTTCTTGTTTTTGTTTCGAATTGTATGTTTATGTATAAAGATAATCAATAAATTTGAGAGTTGATCTGTGTTCATTAATCATTGTTACCAAATTAACTGACAAACATTCATTTTGGAAAAAAAGCTTATTTATCTGTAAATTATTTGTTCTGTTCTGTAACGATATCAAACATCTACTCCAAAACCGGGAGAGACCGGACAATAAACGTGTGGTCACTAGTAAATCCCGGTCAAAATAGACCGGGAGAGACCGGGAATTACCGATAGGAACACATCCCTCTATAAATAGATTTTCGGAATATTTAGGTCATCAACTCATCATTCTATTTACAGCTTTCGGATAAATGTACAACAATAACATACCATAATAACCCACTGTGTAAATAAAAAAAACGAAGAGCGCGATTTATTGACGGAAAAGGTTATTTCATTGAAAAATGTTTGCAAGTTCGCTATTCATTGTACCACGGATTAAGGCCGCTATTCCATTAGTACGTGATCCGTGACCCGCGTCAGTGATCCGTGTCCGGGCATGTCCGTGGTATTTATTCCATAGGTACGTTATTTTCTATATACTTTTAATTGAAGTATAGCGAACAGAGGATATTATTTGTAGAATATGATATAATTTCGTTCTAATACCAAAAACAGTTGTAACATCAAAGAATTATGTAACAAACATTGAATATCAGTTAGGTTTTCAAATAACATCTCTTGAGCAACCGAAGACCAGATGTTGTTATTTTTAATCTGTCATTGCTGCATCATAAACTTATAGGTTCTCCTACACTAATTTGGTGAGCTCTTTAGTATTTTCTTTCGAAATTGATAAAGTATTTAATTCCGTTCGAGGCATTTTGTAGGGATGAGACATGTCAGTGACTGTCCGCGTCCGTAAAAAATCGCTCATCCTGCGAAACGTTGCGGATGCAGTCGCGGAAGCGGATGGTAAACGGACAAAAGGAATAGATTCAACGTATTCTTTGATTAGCGAATCGGTAGCGGACGCGGATGACGGACGCGGAACACTGATCACGTATAAATGGAATAGCGGCCTAATTAATAATCAAGAATCGGAATGATCGGCTTTTATTATGACCGACTAAAAGGCTCGAGAAGTTGCTGTCGCCTTTTCACAAAATCTTATTTCATTCCATAAAGGGGTTCCGCGCTTTGGCGCGGACGCCAATCAGAGAAGGAATATATCAATGCACTTGAGTCTAGTGAATTTGGTGGTGAAGAATATATTTCACACAGCCTAAATTTCATGACTACATCAAAAGACAACACAGTAAGACACTTTGTCAAAATCTAGGTCAGCTGATATCAAAGTTCGCTTTACATCTTAATCTGTGCACATGGTTCAAATTTCATAGCTGTACATCAAAGGACAAGAAAGTATGTCACTGTCCCCTTGGGCAAGGCAAATTTTTGACCCAAGGGTTAAATTCAAAACAATCTTGATACAGGTCCACCAAACAACATTTTAAGTCAAATATCTTAGCTGTAGCTTTCTCCCATTCAGAAAACATTTGTTTTATTTTCTGTTTTTATTATGTGTACATAATGAGAATCACTGCCCCCGGCCAGGGCCAATTTTGACACTAGGGGAAAAATTTGAACAACTTTGGTAGAGGACCTATAGATGATATTATATAGCAAAGCTCTATGCTTTGTACCTTCAGACAATTTTTTTTTACTATATGTACATAATGAAAATCAATGACCCCCGGGGCGGAACCAATTTTGACCCAAGGGCTATAATTTAAACAATCTTGGTAGAGGTTCACATCGCAAAGTCTCATGCCATATATCTAACCTCTAGCCTTTGTCAATTCAGAGAATAAGATTTTTCAATTTGTTAATTTATACATATAAGGTTAACTATTGCCTCTGGGGCAGGGCAATTTTAACACTAGGGGCATAATTAAAACTACTTTAGTAGAGGACCCATTGATGATATTATATACCAAATATCAAAGCTCTAAGCCTTGTACCTTCAGACAAGAAGATTGTTTATTTTTTTACTATATGTACATAGTGAAAATCAATGACCCCTGGGGGTGGGGCCAATTTATACCACAGGGCTATAATTTGTACAATCTTGCTAGAGGTTCACTACACAATGTTTCATGCAATATATCTCAACTCTAGCCTTTGTAAATTTAGAGAAGATGATTTTTTTAAGTTTTTACTATATACATATAAGGAA